AGCAAGGAGCTACATTTGAACTATTATTGGGATGATGGGATGAGAAAGAGCAGAGAGCTGATTAGCATAAGGGGACCTGCCAAAGTCATCCTGCAGCTCAGACTCTCATTTCATTATCTGATGTTCTGCTATCTCCTATGAGGTTATTTCCTTGCCTTTCTAAAGGCTCCACAGCAGAAATAAACACAGCCTGGAAGTGGGACTCTTCGTGTAACCCCAGGGGGGCTGAAGCACTAGTAGACAATAGCCTGCTCCTGCTACCAGCAAATGGAGCTATTCCTTTAAATCCACGGGCTGAGGTCTGTGCTGTGGTGCAGAAGGGGCAGGGGGCAGTCCATTTACACTGAATTCATGCTAACAGTGAGCTCCCTTGTAAGCCTCTGGGTCCAGAATCAGGACCACTATGCCTTGAACACTACTCCCCTTTACAGCCAGTCCATTCACTAGCTCAAGTGAGATCTTTACGGACCCAGGACTACATCACAAAAGTGCTTCATAGAGCCAGTAGTTCTCCAGGCATGGGCTATACAGCATCTCAGCAAACAGAGTTTGCCAGTCATGCAGCTCTTGGCTGCTAAGAATGCAGTTCTTCCTTTCTCTCGCACTCCATTTCTGCTCCTTTCCACTTTCCCCATTTTGCTGCTTTGTCTTCTTCGTTGAGATGCTTCCCCACCTTCCTCCATTTTTTGTTGGTTTTTTTGTTTTATCAAATATGCTAGCATTTGCTTCTAAAATGGAGGAAAACGAATGGGATGAGCTGCTATTTTATCCACATTAACTTTTCCTTCTTTCCTCCTCCCCCCACTATTCATCACAATGCTCTATGAGCTGAGCCACTCCACCCTGGTTTCAAAACATCTGTGGGGCTCATCCAAGCTGACCTACTATAAACTCCACCCAGTAATCACAGACGCCTTGCAAAAAAACCCACTGACTCTTGTAGAAGGTAAATCAAGTTTCTGGGCACTGCTCCATTCCTCTGCATCATACAAATTCTTTGCACATTCATTCCAGAGAGACTCAGCTCGTTAAAAAAAGAAGGAGAAAAAACAGTTGCTAAGAAAGAAGCTGCTGAATCCCAATAGTCTGAAATTTTATTATGGGCCTGAAAACTCAACAAATGAGAGGGACTGAATGCCAACAAATGAGTCCATTTCCAGAGCGCTGGGGACTCACTGCACACTCTGACACAGCAGGTTTGTGCAGTGGGGTGTTTTAGAAGTCATGTTATGACTCAAGGAGCCATCTCCATTGTGCACAATCATTGCTGAGCTAATGAGTATGAACTCTTAATTTCCTGAACTGAGACTTGCAATGGCTTGGAAGGACCCAGGCATGCTTCTTACTGCTTAATTAACAGAGCCAGCTCTTCCCCATTGACATCATAGAGTTGAGCAGCCACTGGATCTCAACCACAGTAATTTAGGGAGTAACAAGGCATAACAACAGATTAACAGCCAAGAGCGTCAACAAATGAGGAGCTGCTTTAATGGAAATGTAGGAATTTGCTCCTACCTTTAGCACTGGGGAGTCCCAGTGCTGGGGTACAAGTATTCTTCATGAAACCTCTTCCTTAGAGCCCACTCCAAATCCCAGTCGTGTCAATGGGAATCTTTGCATTTACTTCAACCATGCCTGCATCAGGTCCTTACTAATTATTTGTATTAGGGAGTTGCCTTGATGTTCCACCTGAGATTGGGGCCATATTGTTCTTGAGGCACTATTGACATGACTAGTAATCACCAGGGCCTGCCCTGAAGAGTTTGCAAAGTGAACAAAGGACAACTTCCTGTTTTCCCAAGGTAGCACCAGCACACAGCAAGATAGTGCTGATCTAGGGTCACCCACAGCACCTGTGGCAAAGCTGGGGCTTAAGATCTACCCAGTCTCAGACCACCAGGTCTTCCCTTCTCTGAGGTTTTGATTTAGCTGTTTAAAAAGTTTCAGGTCGGTTTTGGCCATTAAACACAAATCTACAGATTCTGAAGCTAACACAAGGAAGTCTGGTTCGTTTAACGCTGGCAGGCCTGACCAGGACTAGGATTTCCAGGCACTACTGTAATATGACTAATAATCAGTCATTATAAAAGCAGACCCCCTTCCTTGCTAAATACCTGAAATGGGAAGCCACTCTCAAGTTAACTGCAAGGGATCTCGTGTCTCAAAACCAGGAGCTGCTTGAAACCATCCTTGCAAAAATCCAGGGCCAGCGAGGGCTCCCTCGCTCAAACTGCTTCTCTGGCTTCCAGCCGACAATTGTCTGGAAGACTCCCCCATCTCCACTTCCTCCTCACTCATTTCTGCCCACACATATGCACAGCGTGACCATACTGCTGCTGCAGCCACACCTTTCATACTACTTAAAGCAGATTATCATTAACGCAAGGGCTGTCTTCTGCACAAAGGGGTTTGGTTTTTGTGAGAATGAGGCCTGACCCATTTTTTGCAAACGTTGAGGAAACCTGAATTTCTAGAGCATTTAACATGTTTACAGGATGTACTGGAGGCAACAATACAGTGTGTGAATGTGCCTCCCACAGGCACAGATACACACCCACAAACCCATACGGACTCACACATGCCTCTTTGGTGTTTAATTGCTTCCACCCTCTGTGACGGTGCCTAAATCAAATGATGTTCTGTTTCTCCCTCTTAAGAAGGAAGTTAAATGGAGCCAGGATCTCTGCTATCTGGGGTAAAAAAAGCGTAGTCGAGTGATCAAAGGCAGCCTGACAGTCGCAAGCTCCTGAATTGGTCTCTGGTTCCTCTGAGATTTTGGACACGTTCTGTCCGTCTGCTCTGTCTTAGTTTCTCTTGGCTGGAGAAGGGGTTCATGGGCTTGTTACCATGCCATAGGCTTGTTTTGATAATATGCATCTCTGAAGTGCTTTGAAGATGTATCAGTGAGGATCATCATCTCTTATGCCTTGGTGTCACCACCAAAAACAGTATATTGGGGTAAATCATTTTGCCTAAGCTTTCCAGGCAGGAATACTTCCCCTTGGGTTTAAAAAGGATGGCCTGACATTTGGGGTGGTGGTGCTATGCACCATCCTTATTTACCTGCTTAAATATGGTTTTAAGTTCTTGAAGCACCAACAACTGACTTCTTTGCCCCCAGGGTAAGGAAGTTATCAGACAGCCGCGGGGAGCTGAGCCATGGTGTCTTTTGCTGTTTCTAGGGTGGGAATATAGTGTATTTGCTTGTGGTGTGCACTGCAGCATTTGTATCTGTCCCACTGTATGCTCTCTAATGCCAAGATGCTGCGGGCCTGAGGTGCTATGCAAGACTTCCTGCAGGATTTCTCTGGTTTTGTGGTTTTCTGAGAGCACACTGGGTGATGGCACCATGGACAAAGCAAGCAACATGGGTCGCATGCTGGTTGGGGTCCACAGCTGGGGTCCAGGTGAGGCTATGAGCTGGGTGCGTCTCCCTGTCTGTGAGCTGCGAGTTCCTGCAGCGTGTGCTGTGGCCTCTGCGGGGCTGCTTGTGAGGTCTGGACAACTGTGTACACACTCAGGGATGCATGTGACCTCCGGGCATGTACGTGTGCACATGCTGCTGTGAGAATTTGGACTTGTGCATACATGAGAGAGTGAAAGGCGCCTCTGGGTGAGGGTCCGTGTGTGCACGTATGTATTTGAGGGTGCGTATGTGAATTCTGGGCTGCTGCTCCTCTCATGTGAGGTGTGTGTGTGTGTGTGTGTGTGTGTGTGTGTGTGTGTGTTGGTGGGTATTAGTGTATAGACCCTGTGTGTTTGCATCTCTGTGTATGCGCATGTGAGAGACTTCTGGGCTGCTGCTCCGTAGGTGAAGTCCACGTGTGCAAGTGTGTGTGCGTATGAAGTCTGGGCTGCTGGTCTTCTCATGTCAGCTCTGTGCGTGTGTGGAGAGGGTATTTGTGTATGGACTGTATGTATGTGCGTGTGTATGCACATATGCATGTGAGAGACTTCTGGGCTACTACTCCGCATGTGAAGAGTGTGTGTGCTTGCGTGCGTGTGAGAATTATGGGCTGCTGCTCCTCTCTTGTGAGATGTGGGGGGGGGCATTTGTGTATGGAGTGTGTGTGTGTGTGTATGCATGCACTGTTTGTGTGCATGTGCGTGTCTGTGAGTGTGAGAGAATTCTGGACTGCTGCTCCGCATGTGAGCTGTGTGTGTATGAACTCAGTGTGTGTGCACATGGAAAGACTCAGTGTGCGTGCAGAGACTCAGTCTCCATGTTGTGTGTGCATAAAGAGCGTGGATGTGTGTGGAAAGACTCATGCATGTGGGTGGGTGTGACTTCTGGGTTGCTGCTCCCCGTGTGTGCGTGTGTGTGTAAAGGGGTGTGTGTGACTTCTGGGCTGCAGCTCCGCTCATGTGCGGGGGGGTGTGCGCGCGCACGCTGTGCCGGGGTGCGCG